GTTTCGATCTCGATCAATCTAACATTCACTTTGCGCTTGACCACATATCTCAGATATGTGTGTGTCCGTTAGGGGAGCGGTTAAACAAGACAGATCAATTTGGCGTGCTGAAGGAATTGTCAGACTTAGGAAACAAATACCAATGATGATCGAGTTTCCTCATTTTTATCACCAGAAGACCTATAAAACATGTCATTCCAGGGAGGATGAGCCCATCACCTCTGCCTAGGTGCAGAAGACCTTCAAGTTCCACCTGTAAATGATAATGTTGGTTAGACATAATCCGTTTAACATTCCGATTGTTTATATCCAAGTAAAGACCCTCTTAAGATTTCTGTTTACGGGTTGACCTTAAAGACAAAATAACGTCTCTTTGAATGCGGTCTGGCTTTATTTAATCAAATCATTTTACTTATCCCCCACATGGGAATTGCGACAAATGTTAACGGTTTGGGTACCTCAGCGATTGGTGCCGACAAATGAGTTATCCACAATTGCATTCAACTTGTCATAAACTTTTTCCACACCGACTGGAACTGATTATCCAATTGTTCAGAGTCCATACATATGTGTGTATGTGTGCATGATACACAAGATGAGATTAACACGCCTAACCTGTATGCTTGTTACTACTTTCTGACACCTGACCAGAAAGGATTTGCATAAGGCAGACCTAATTTACTATTTATTCAATGAACTTCATGAGAAACTGAAAGTCGTTAAGTTTTCGCACGTTGATGAATCCTATATTACCATCGAATATAGCTACGAACCATAATGAAACCGTGTCGTGTTTTTTTAACTGTCAGCACGATAAATTACACGTTATGGGTAAAATTGCCATTCAGAAGGTGTTTTCTAATTTCAAATGTCGCACTGAAAAAAGTTTCTTGCCATTAAAGTTTTGCCCTTGAAGTATATGTTCGTGTTCCGATGACCTTATCGTACCATATCGCGATCAGGTCGAAGTTTTTAGAAGTCACTGTGGGAGTTTCAGTGGTCAGTCTGAGAGTATCTCCCAAAGGTCACTGGAATTGGTTGATCCTGAAGGTAGAATCCGCTCATCATTGAACTGTTTGAATCAGTAGTATCAACCAGTGGCATGTTTTTCATCCATTTACATTTTCGGGCACAGGGCCACGAGAGCGAAAATTCTGCTTTTGGGCACTGACTGATCATCATCTCTCCTAAGCCACTAACTTCGAATTTTGAAATGCCCTGAACTCCTTAAATTTTTCACACGACCTGTGGGATTCTAGGACTGACAACCCAGCAACGCAGTTTTAGGCGAGCTTTTTGTCAATACTGTCGTAATGATGAACCCAGAGACGAATTCTTTTATTGTAGCTAGCTCGCAGATTATGATTACGATGACAAGTGAACGACTGTAACAAGTACGAACAAGCTTACTTTTGTATATTTGTTCCCAAATCCACGAAACTAATTTTCGAAACCACATCTCAGCTTGATTGTCTGCATCGTAAAATGGGTTGGTATTTGGCATAAATATCTCCACTCTGTTGGTGGATCATACAAACGGTGAATTTATGGGGTGACTCCATGGATACATCAACATTTTTTCCGTAGTTATTGACGTCTACCCTCAGTTATCAAATATCAAGCCATTCGAAAGGCATTTTCTTCAGATTGAGGAGAGAGTGGGGAGATAGCTTAGTTCATATCACGAGGGCATAATTTGACCGCAATGTAAGAATTGTCCATGAGGTTTAAAGCATTTCATGGGTTTATATGAAAAGATTGTGGAGGCGTCTGTGAAGTCTGGACCACTGAAACTCAAACGCTATAGAGCCTATCACCTGTCACAGTTCGTGTCTATATTCATTTGTGAGTTGTGTTTACGCTTTTCTGTAGCGGTGCATAATGTAAAGAAACTGGTGGCGCACGCAAAACTTGAAATGAATTCCTTGATTTATAAACAAAGTGGCTTTTGAAAATAGACATTTCGAAAGAGTGCTTCTCGAGCTGTCCTGTCAAGCCCGTACAATAGGGATTCGCGTTATCTAGTTTGCTAAACACCGAAGAGTGCAACGCAGATCGTTCATCCATTTGCTATGTCTTCCTTCTTTTACGGGACAATTACTTAGCATGTCATAGCCAAATCATCGATAGATCTCCAGAAAATAGACTTTCGTCACTCTCTCACCACACGGGATAATAAGCAGCTTTCCTCTATACCAAGAGATTATCATACAAACCTCTAAGCCTAAGTTTCTTATCAGTTATGTTCTATCAAACGGTGGGATTGTTTTTCCATCACACAAATCAAGGGAGGCAAGGCAAATTATTGGTTAGAAACACTTGCTATCGGTTAAACTTGGGTATACGAAATTATCAGCATACTGACGGTCATAACTCAAGGCTATTACTAGGGACAGAGGAGACCCTACAGTTAACTTTGTACCTCAGTTTACGCATTTAACCGGAATTGTAGATTTTCCTGCTTATAGCTTTGAATATTACAATAGTACTCAGTATTCTATTCGTTTACTAGACCGTGCCGCTGTATCCACAAAAGGGAGTAACGCGCTGGATTGTCATGCCTGCAGCGACGAACTATTATTTTCATCATTGTCGGTCGATGAATTGCGGTTGTAATATTATCAGGTTTTTTAGAAATCGTACGTAACTTATAAGAACGACAAATGACGTCCAATATAGAGGCGAACAGTTTACAGCCTTCGGTAAGGTTAGAATCAGACGCTTTTCAAGAATGTCAAAAAAGAAATCATTGTGGTTGGGTACCAAGAGAGAAAATCGTATGAGCGATTCACCTCAATCCATGCAATACATATCGATCTTGTATTTTTAAACCACCGGCGACTCTATGAAGTGCATGCCTTTCACTAGGCGCAAATTGTGCTCTGTGGTGCCAGCTGTCAAAACTCGAATACCAAAGACCATCAATTAGTTGCTAGTAGCTATTCTGACATGAATAGCCTTCGGTAGAACACATATCATGTGAGTGACTCACGAAGATGGCCTGACTGGGTTACCAAATATGTTTTACGGCGCTGTCTCACTAACTGGTCCAGTTCATGGAATGTCAGCTCAAAGATCATCATTAGCTAGTCTAGTAGTGTGGATCTAAGTATTGGCATGTGGTATACTCATAAAATAACTTTATTGGAATCATATTCATAACCAAGGATTATGCCCACACTCGGAATAATCATCTGTTGTTCTAAGCTCTTAATTAACTCCAGTGAAATCTTTGGCAGACTAGCAGGTTAATTTAGTAGTTTTTATTGTTTGAACCCTGTTTTTCGTGCACCCGATATACAGGTTGTACTGCAATTGGTCGAATGGATATCTCGTGTTGGACGTTGAACTCCGTTAGTGTATTTAAGGTCTTCATTGCTAATTCAGCATTCAAAAATTGTACAAGCCTGTATATGTCTTGTAACAGTGATGCATTACTGCAGAACCGTATTTAAGAACCTGGTTGGGTGGCTGGAAGGCTGTGCATTCTTTTTTATTGATTTTATATAAACCTCGCCCATTCTTAACATTCCACACGGTAAAAGTGTTATGTTCTGTTACTTTTTAATGTGTACTAAAATGACATTTCTTGTACATTATTCCCCTCGAAATGTGCGCTCACATTTTCTTTATTCATTTTTGAGCTTTACTGTCACTTCATCAGAAATACACTGACAGAAACGGATCTGAGTCACTGAGTTCAAAGAAGACTACAGCGACTCAGGAATATCGAACTACAGCGTATCATTAACCATACAAAATTTGTCAATTTATCTTGCTTACCTGTATATACCACCTAAGTTCGCTACTTGCAAATCAAAGAGTTCGAATAAACTTTGACTCAACTGTTACGGAGCTCGACATCACAAAAACACGGCGAATATAATGGCGCACTCGTTTCCCCAAAAGATCGATAATTTTCCACCCGTCCACTGATATTCCGGTAACTAGCAGGTCAATTGGAAGCAGGAACAGCCGGCGGATATCTAAAACCCAGTGGATGGATGATGTTTTTGCACTATGAGTCACATTCAGACATCATGGCTAAGCATACGGCCTTCGTGGGCGGTGAATTCAATAGTTTTGACTATTTGTGAGGCTTAACATTTTGAGAGGTGTTAGAACCTGACAGACGTGCCAGAAACCAAGTTGACTTTCATGACAAAAGTTAAGCAGGAATTTCTCCGGCACCTAGCATTGAGAAATCAGTATGCCATATAATTTGCTTGTCAAGGAAGACGTGCGCAGCCATTTGAAATGAAGACAAAATAAATGAGAAACGCATCGGTTTGATTGTTTTTTTCTAGTTTTTGAAGGGGAATCCCTAGAGCCAGTAAAACTCGAGTTGGTGACATTGTGGATAAGACGATATCGTGTAGCCCTGACACAATGTTCAAAGGTGTCTGGAGGTGGAAGATTCTTGTCATCAGCTGTCCTCCGGGCTTCGGTTTTCCTGCGACAAGTCTTCTCATTTTCCTTTCCTTATCATCTACAGGATTACTGGTAAAACTTGGCTGTGCGGTAGCTAGCGACAGTCACCTGCTACTGGTCCCTTTTCAGGATAACCTGTAGCTAGTAGCTTTTCCAAAAAAACTGGTGTGCAAATAAACACGTCGGTCCCAGTAGACAAGGTGCTATATTAAGGGATACTAATCATGCTTATAGCTCCAGAGTAGTTTTCGTTATCCAGCTACTTACGAGGTCCTAAAAAATTAGGAGTCAAAAACCTCTTGTAGTCATCCGTACATCTGACGAACATATCTGCGTCTGTGTGCATTTGTTACTGGTGTACGTCTGACAAGAGAGGTTTGGTTGGCAAATAGCCAGGTAGTCTGTCATAGCTTTTGATCTGGGCTCTCCAGTCCGATGTTTGTACAGTACTTAAGGAATGGCATCTATTGCCAGTGTAGTTTTGTCAATGATGATGACTTATCACATGCCGGCCTTCTTGGTAATAAGCTTCTTTTTGTCCCATGTTTGTTTCACCCACGACCTGTTAGGTCACTCCGTGATGAACTTGTGGAGAAACAGAAAGTCCGTATTCGAAATGCAGAAGCAAGTGGAGATGGACATTGCTACAACTGCGGTCGCTTGTTTATGGCCGTCTTTAACGCCCCCATTGAGTGTCCAATCTGTAGACACGAATTCTGTCGAATGTGTCTGGAGAAAACCGGGAGATCCAAGGAGCTGATTTGCAAATTTTGCCGTTTCGAAAGGTTCGTTAATTCACGTGAAAAAGTTTGAAGTTTTTGAGCGTTTAAATTTGAGTCTTTGCAATTCTTAAAAGCACCAAACCCATGGAGAAAACCCACATTTTTCTCAGAGTTCTGAAATACAGCTCTCCCTTTCATCAAAAATGCACTAGCTCAGTAATCGAAGCAAATGCCTTTGAACTGATACGGGGAGAATGACATGTCATCATGGTACATAGCTTATGATGCAAATTTTACCAGAGATAAATTTGGGGTATTGACACACTGTGAGGTTAACCAGGTCTAGTATTCCGAAACTAGCCAGTAACCATGTGGTATACGGTTGTTTGCATAGCATCAACATACTCCCAGCTGTTTGTGTGAAGAACCCGAAATTTCCAGTTTGGTTAATACTGTCGGTCTGTGGGCAAATATTTGAACAAGTACAAGTCAATTTCATCAAGCTATGATTTACTGGAAAAAGTGTTTAGCTTTTGCACATGTCCGGCAGTCCGTGTGATTTTCCGTGTTAAAGTTTCCTCAGATTACAATATATGGCTCACTCACTAAAATAAGCCACTGAAATGATGGTGTGGAACTGATGGCGCATAAATCCTAGCTTGTGGAGAAATAGCACAGCTCAGAAAACGTGAAGGCGCTTTCTAACTCCTTTAAACTGAGTGCCTGTCACCTACTAGTGTTCGGCAAGCACATTGATTAAGGCACAGTTGAAACTGTATACTTCGGAGACATGAGAGCACGTGGTTACAAATTCTAGTATTTTTAACTAACCTTGACTTGATAAAGTCTCCTCAGTGGATGCCAGTGAACAAACGGACGGCGTTCATTGGTTGTTGGCAAGACATTAAAAATACATCTCTGTCAAAAAGGCAAAAGGCTGCTCAGCTACTTTAAGTTTTCCAGTGTAGACTGGTTCAAACTATCAGTTTACTTAACCACTGATAGAAGGATGACAAGATGATAGCCATATATTAAAGCCAATGATACTTTTGGTTTGTTGATATCGGATTGTTTATCAGCATCACCATCATCATCATCATCATCATCATCATCATCATCATCACCATCGCCAGCGAAACGTCGGTGCTTAACACCGATTCATCACAGCTGTACATCGGATTATTCGACTCTACACAAAGTAAAGGAAACAGGATAACTACTTTCTGAGGGCGATAGCTCTGATGCATGAGTGCCACTGACCTTGTTATTAAGTCGTCTGTTAGGGTCATCTTACTGAGCCTTGTCCCGTCCCATGGTCCCTGTACAGGAAGACCGAAGCTTTTATAACCTAACCACCTACGGACTGTTTTCAATCCGCGAGTGAACAGCCAAGATGGTTCTGCGATGCAGACGGTTTACAACAGGTGTGACATTCATCTAAACCATATGTACTGCGTTACGCAAGAGCATAAAGTGTGAGTTGAAGATTCCTGACTCCTGATGCTGTCAGCTTGGTTTGGAGAGACATCGGACGTTTGGTACGATCTATCGGTTTTTCGGTAGTGTGTGACACACTTGCGCTAGCGGTCATCGGCCGAGCGGTGGGGATAGGCAGTTTGTAGCATTAACCTTTTTGCCCACATCTTCAATAAGGTGTCAGAATCCACCTTTGATTAAATATGGAATTACTGGCCACCAGAAGGTGACGTCTTACTGGTTTCATGTCCCCAGTCCAGTGGACGATTAACTTCACCATTTTATGCCCCGTAATAAAACTGCTGTAACTGTGAGAGCTCGTTGCAGGTTGTGTGGCCACTCCTCTTGTCTTTCTGTTATGGCTAAACCGTAGAAAACGACGGTTTAGCCAGTACAGCTCAACAGACAATTACAACACTTAACTCCGATCACCTTACCAAGCTGGCAGACTTCGGTCGAGAAAAAGTGATATTGATGGCAGTCCATTAAGTTTTTCTGACCATTCCTATTCTGCTTGAGGTTCTGCTTTAAGTGTGCTCTAAAGACCTTCGTACTAGTTCCGAATCAGCATTGATCATTTATGCATTCAAGCTATTGTTACTCTAAATGGTCTGCTTGAATCAGTGGAATTTGATGCTTTCGTCTTGCTTACGAATTGCTGTATACTTGGGTCGCAACTCGCTCTGCATAAAGAAAACCTAAGCAGAGTGCCTTGTGTGTCTGGACGGAATGTTTCATATCTCACTGAGGCTAGATATTAGCACTTTCCACAGGAAACCCCGCACATTTACTGCATAATTTCTTTGCCAATTCGTGCATCAAACGAATACTACCCAAAGAGTTTAGCATAACGACACGTGCTATCTTGGTATAGGCATCAATTGAACCAAGTGATATTAGGGTTCTTGCCTGTCATGCTGATACATCCATATTGGCTGAATGGGGTGTACAGTTACGCCAACAAATGCAGCATAGTAAAGTGCACTTTCCTAAAGAAAACTACTCACAAGGTTGCTGAAAACTCTTCACTTGTTTAAAGCCTGAACAAATGATCACTGTATTAATTCCAAGTCAGGGTTATTTCTTGTTTAGTTCTGACTAGAAGCAGAGTGGGGGGCGCGATATCTGGAGGAAACGTAAGCCCCTCAATTCTGGCTGCTTGTAGAGTGCACAAAAATGGTACACGGTCTAAAAAGGTAGTCTTGAAAAGCTGCGGCTTAGGTTTGTTAGTACCTTACAATGTCGGAATATCTCAAGGTGCATCTGGCAACTCAATTTACACCATTATCTACTTATTGTAGCACTATGAAAATCCATATGAGGACGTCTTCAGTCGCTATGTAAAGTACACGATCATGTGGGTATGCCCCCGTTGAGTTTCAGTTTGAACTTAAGTAAAACTAATTTTTGAAACGACATAAACTAAAAAGCACGTTGGTCGTAGTTTTATGGGACCTCTTGTTTATTTCCACCTGTCTGTGTCTTCTCTAACGAGCCGAAAGAGGATTTCCGGAGTCCAAGCAAGCAAGTTCATTATCAAGTACTTTACTGCCTTAGCAAGATGTCAATTCCCCACAAGAAGGAAAATGATTAGACCTGACGGTTTATTGGGGTGCTACTGAGTAGTAAGATTTTCCGTATTTTTCACCCACTGTTTTTCCTGACCCCTTCCTGTATCCAACACAAACGTTCAGTGAGGATTCACAAGACGGTTACTTAGACCGCTGCGTCTCGTAGCTAACCTTACTGGTTCTGTGCATATCTGTCTCTCACCGCTTATATCTGTCACTGTTATAACGGTGAGTTGAGTTAGGTTTTGCTTGAAATGTAACGCAGAAGCTCAAGACAGAATTTCAGCCCCATACCCACTTCTTCCAAAGCAATCACTCAACAGATGCTTAGTGTCTTTATGAATAGGACATAATCAAAGTTGTCCCATTCTGTACGTTTTTTGTCGACTCGACCGTTTGTTCACGCACATCTTGGTCTGTTACGGATCGCAGTATTTTGCGCCCTGTGTTCAGTCGTATTTTATGGCACGTTTTGCATCTGCCCACCACAATCTCCCAGTAATTCTTGCTGTTTACGTTTATCGGTAAATGTTGTCTTGAATTTCTCTCATAATCCGACTACTTCTAGCCAAATAAGCCGAGGAACGAAAATAGCGATTGAAAGTGGATCAGTCGGGATGAAGACAGTGAACTACTAAAAACGGAAAGTATGTAAGCTACCAATTAAACCACAGGAGAGAAGACAACGATGCACTACAGATGACGAACGGGCCTATCATAACCGAAAACAATCAACAGCACTAGCCATACATGGTGCGGCAGTCGAGCACAAAGAATACAGACCACGACGCAACACAGATAACAAACAGACCATTCAGACACAGATGCGATGATTTTAAATAGCTTGCCAGGTCGATCCAAAGGCTGCTCTTCGCGCACTGTGTGAACACAAACACAAAGGGAGGAACTATTCATTAAAAAGTGCAGTAATGGTGTCTTCTCGAATGTTGGTGAAATGTCTGCAGACCTATTGTCAAGCTCAGCGAACAGATCATTAGCCGAGTTATCAGTTACCAACTTACAAGGAAATTCTCAATCGTCTACTCCTTCCTAATAGCCTTTTGCTTGTCCCTGAAGCCGCTATATTGACTGTTATGACTGTCCCCTACAGCCCTGTGAGTGTCTGCTGTTTGTAGTTTCCACCTCACGCTGTAAGCGAAAAGAAATATTTTTTTGGACCAGAACCCAGGTCCCTACTGTCTATCCGCTGTTTGTCGGTGTCAGTACCGATACCTAATGCTACAAGTGGGGATTTCCCAATTGCTCCCCTCTCCAATTTCGAGTTTGTGTCAGGTCAAATAGCAGCAAAAGCTGGCTTTTTGGAACATTCATTCTTCAGGGAATCTCACAGAGAGCATTTCAAACGTACATTCTTGTATACAAATTTAGACTACCCAGAGAACCCTGAAAATCCTACAAAAAACACCCAACCGGCCATTCCACAATAACTTGAAAACGTTTTCACCATGCGAAGCTGAGACTTCTAGGCGAAAAGAGGCCATTTATTCCCTTGACTTGGTGATACTTTTTAGCTAATGTGTTTCTGGAGAGTGTTTTTTCCTGGTCGGTATCCAAGAGGGACGTTATGTTCATTTCAACTATATTGAAAGTTTGCGCTGTTCAGTATCAACCTTTTAAGTGCATCTCCCTTCATCATTTTGTTTCCAGCGTGTCTAGAGGACGTCTAGGGGTGTGGTTTACTGAGGAGCTGAAAAGGGCTCGTGCTGCTGGTAGGGTTCGTGGTGTCAGCGGACCAGAGGCCCTGCGTGCCTCACTGTTACGTATCAAACGTGAGTTTTGTTCTATTTTTGTCAATATCATTACATATATTTTTATATAGAATGTGCATTATATATATATATATATGACAAGGAAAATACATGGTGCACAATCATATTGCACAACTGAACACATCATTCTAATGAATACACGCCATAGGTTCCATTATGTCGTTACCAAACTGTTTGGCCTTCGGAGAGAAAATCCTCACGGGTTTCTACAAATGGATATCATCTTATATTTACGCAGCGCAATGCTAATGTTGGATAAATTGGTGGATATGATTTCGTGTCAGACATACTGTAAGGACAGGTGGAATTTTTTCGGCGTTCTTATTTCTGGATACGTTGAGCAGTTCACAGTTCCTTTTGCTTTGTTTTAACGGGGGAGTGTTTTAATTATCTCTACAGGCAGCGAGAGCGAAACAGGTTGGTTGCCTTATGCAATTAAAAGGAAGGTGATCGCGTTGCAAACCGCTGACAAAATGAGCGCTGGGGAACTAAGCGTAATCTTACTGAATCTCCCCAGAAACATGTTTGGTTACCAGACCGTCTCTTGATCTTTGGGTGGATTTACTCTGGGTTATAGCGGTGTTCCTTGGGCGGAAAATCCTGGGTAAAGTCCACGTTAAACCTCTTTATCCTCGTGTTTACACCTTCATGCAACAACTGTTTTATGTAAGCCCAAAGGTATATCGCTCCTCGTGCTAACTATTGCAGATTGGCAGATGAGGATACAGACATTGCATCTTCATGTTGGAATCACCAAATAGAAGGCTATTTAAAATGGTTGCAAAGTAATAATTTTGCTAGGTCACACTTTCCGCAATACGAATGTCCCATATGTGAATCAATTTAATGAGCTCAAGGCTGAAACATTTCCACAGAACTTCTAGGATTTTCATTTAGACACAAGCCTCACCAGCGCCTGGCTGTAGCTTTTGAGAAGGTCAGTTTGCCAAGATCTGATTTACAACCCCAAGGTCTTCTTGTTTGTACGCACTTTACTTGTGAAAAAGTCATCAGAAACCCCAAAAGTGCTTTACATTTCCACAGAACTTCTAGGATTTTCATTTAGACACAAGCCTCACCAGCGCCTGGCTGTAGCTTTTGAGAAGGTCAGTTTGCCAAGATCTGATTTACAACCCCAAGGTCTTCTTGTTTGTACGCACTTTACTTGTGAAAAAGTCATCAGAAACCCCCAAAAGTGTTTACTTACAAGTGTCCATATTTGTCGCATTTCATCAAACTATTCGGTTGATCTATATACCCTCTAGGGTGGTCTGAACTCATGGCTAAACGTACACTTAATACTGGTAATTAATCTCGGTCGTATTGACTGGTCCTGGCTTGCACAATCTACATGGGCACAATAACCACTATCAAGAGCTGCTCAGTAGGCACGACTCCATTCTCATCAAATACATTTCCTGTTATCCAATACTGAGAGCTACTCAAATGTTACGAACTTAATCACAGTTTTAACTGTTTTCACAAAGCATCGTTTTTTGTTCAGCATCTTTCTGAGCCCGAAGATTTTCAGCCGGTCGTTGGACGATACAGGAAACAGACCTCAATTACTGTGAAAGCTGTATGCAATCGTAGATGACTATGCTTTGTTGCTAAATACCGTCCTAAAAAGCTTGAATACGTATCGCGTATAAAACAATTTGTTCACCAAATAAAAACAACAAGATACCTTTGTGCGTAATGCCCAAGAAATCTGAACCAGTTCCGAGGTTGAAAGAGTTTGAAGTAATATGTCCTGGAAAAGACATGGTCATCAATTTGACCCATTAAAGGAAATAGCATCTTCGAGGATGGAGTTGCTCACTGATAAACACTGAGTAATAAGCTCTAAGAAACGAACTAAAAGTTTCACTGAAAAGCCAATAAACTTAAGTGTCCTACTGTGTTTTTCTGCACGTTTTTTTCACAGTAACAAACAGACACTGTAAAATGGTCCAGTAATTTCCAAACCAACCTTCCATCGGATGCAGAAACGGTGCCTTGAACTACTTGACCAGATATTAGTCGTCCGTTTCATCAGTGTTACACTCCTTTAAACCACCACTACGGTCGTAATGTCCCTATGATTCATTAGTAACTGGTTTGTACCCGAAGAAATTTCACACAGATCATGCTCTTGTTTTTGCATGGGTCCGCATTAGTCACTCACTGACCTGCAACAAAATCAGCACACAAGTAATGTTGAAAAGTACATAAATAGAATAAATTGGTGTAGTTGAGGCAGTTCAGATAGATATACTTTACGCAATCACATGAAACTTCTGTTGCATCGGCTAACAAGTAAATGAATCCTCACGAGCGCTCGTCGATTCAAGTAAATCGACATAGAATTGTTTCAGTGAACAGGTAAACTGAGTTCATTGAAATGCTTAAGCATGTTCACTCACCTGGTAGTCAGTATTGAAACCGAAGAAGATTATAATATTCTTAGAAAACAGACTGTCTAATAGAGTTATCACTGAATGAAGTACCGATGGTTGTATTTGGGCGTATTTGTCATCTTGTGGTAAAGTGTTTGATGACCCGTTTATATGGGATACGCCACGCAGATGCATATCAAGACACCCAGCTATTCAAGTCTTCATACCTTACGCATACGGTAGGGTTATCCTTTGTTGTTGAATAAAGTATCAAAGTAGCCTTAACTCGTAGAGTTAATTTTAAGCAAGCTGATGGTGACGGCAAGATATCTGTCTTTTCATATCACCGGTACCCACGGCGTTTCTACTGTCACGAAAAAATGGCACAGGTGGAATGTGACAAATTTCAGTGGGGATAGCAAATGCAAGCGTTAGTTTGCTGGTGCAGGATTAAATTGGACAACTGTTTCTAACTTTTCCGCTCCCTATTAGCCAATTTTCACGCCTGAGATTTTGCCATGCGTTTGTGGCAAGGTACAAACGTACACTAGTAAAGTGTAAGATACCGTTATCAGATTACCATCATTTGGAGTGACCCAGTCTCGTGTCACTGCCAGAAATAACCTCACCTTGGCCCCATCAGATAAAGAGAAACAAAAGGTAGTTGCATATTCTATCTGTCTCTGCATAGTGTGATCGGGATAATTTAACAGTGGAGTTTTCAGTACATATCTCAAACGAACTCGTGTGACAGCGCTTCCCGGGATTTAGCGAATATATTTCTTACCTCCGACGGCTCATTATTCTAAGTTTCCCATCGCAACATAACGACAAAGCCGCACGTATCATCTTAGACAACTTTTTACTATTTTGTTTCTGTATCAACATTTCTACCAAAACACCAAGTTGCGTGCTGAAAGGATGCTAAAAGCTTTTGGAGCCACTTCACATATCTGATCAATAACTCCATGTGAGCTAAACTAAACGTGAGTGGTGCTTATGCCACAGCAAATGGTTACTGAAGGTCATAGTTTTCCCGATCGTAACTGAAGCTGATCGATAATTTGCGCTCTCGAAGTATGCGGTTCGATAAATTGCTTGATACAACTGAAATAAAACGAACTGTATTCATGTTTAGTGGGTGAAAAAGCCACAAGGAAGCTAGATTAGGAGAAAGTTTACTTTATCAAAAATTTAAGCGAATATTTTCATGGGTGTTTTCCCAGATGGGATGCCGAACAAGCAAAAGATTTGGTTTCTGATCGAAACAACCGAGTAAAAAGCATTTCGAGTATAAAACATTCGTCAACCCGCACTTGAAATTTCATCATGGGACAAACGTCATCTCAGTTTAAGACCACAACATAATTCATTTGGCTGATTAGAATTTGCACGAAGCACCCAAGTAAGTCCTTATGTCATTATACATAAAATCAAAAGTTCAGGCAATAAATTCTCAGCAGTGTTAGAACTTGCGCTGCTGGCACAGTACAGGAGAACTGGAGGGACTTCAATGTATACAAAGCTCTATAGGAAGTTCCCATTGTTCAGGATTTCACCTATGTTTTAGCCTGACAAGCCTCACATCACACGCTCATAGAATACCTTTCCCTTTTATCGTTTGGCTGAACTGTTGAAAGGAATAGTATTTAAGCATAACAACAACTTGAACCTTCGAGACCGTTTAATTAGATCAGCGTTTGTCTCCGAAATCCTCGACTTTCAGGTTATCCTGTCTACAATCAACAGCGTGAGGTCGAAAAAATCATGATGGCGTAGTCAGAAGGAATTTATGCGCGTGAAAAGCTCATCTGCTTTTTAGATCAACTTACGAGAAGAGACTTTATTATACAATGTAGTTTGAGCCCAAAAAACCCTCTACAAACAGTGCACAAAACTCAACTAAATAGTTAGGGATGGGGTAAGACAGAATTTAATTCATCTGAATTTCATCAAGTAACACGATAGTTTCCGAGTGCCGTGTTGACCAAACCACAACTGATCAAAACTCAGCAAAAAGCTTTTTTTACGTACCTTATGGGAATCTGAATGCTATTTGTCGAGAAATCATAAAAAGGTATGTAACGGTTTTGTGTAACAGCGATTTGAAATTACCTTGAGGTGAAAGCAGAAAGCCGCAATCGTTTTCACATTATCTAATAGAATACAGTCAACCAAATAATCCGCTCGGCTGAGTAATCACGAGGTAATTAATACACCCACGATTAGTCGTTTGATTATGCGTGTCATGGCATGATAACTGAAGCCTGTCAACCTATTTACGTATGCTTGACAAGTTACATCAACGAGATTACATTCCAAAGTGATAGTTTGAAGTTACAAAATGAAGGAAGTTTACATGACAAATTAATACTGCGTATAAGTGCTGCAGCAATGGCCATGCCTCAAGAATAACAGTAAGCAGAGCCGTTGGACGTTATCTGGAGTGGGAATATCTCCTCTCTTGTTGAGCACACTGACATAACGTTACGCCCATAACGTAGAAGTGTTTTATATATTCGGTCTTATTCGGTCTTTCAAAGGAGTTTCCTACGTTTTGGTTTTCTTTCAGACAAGTGGGCCTGATCACATTTTGCAATTATTTTGCAATTGTTTTACAAC